AAGGCGAAGGAAGAAAAGGGAAGAATAGGAAAGGGAAGGAAAGAGAAGGAGAGGAGAGGAAAAGGAAAGAGGAAAGAGAAGAGAAGGAAGGAGAGGAAATTGGAGGAGAGGAAAAAGGAAAGGGGAGGCGTAAGAGAATAAAAAAAAGAAGGGAGAGGAGAGAAAAGGATAGAAGGGAAAGGGATGAGAGGAGAGAAGGAGAGAAAGAGAAAGAGAGAAAAGAGAGGAAGAGAAGAGGAGGGATTGAAACAAGATAGAGATAGAAACGGAAAAAAAAGAAAAAAAGAGAAAAAAGGAGAGGAAAGGAGGAGAAATAGGGAGAGAGAGGAGAAAAGGAAAATAAAGGAATAAGGGAAAAAGCGAATCGAAAAAAATAGAGAGTAGAGGACAGATGAGAAGGAAGAGAAAGGGGGAAGAGAGGCGAGGAGGAAGGAGAGAAAAGACGAGGAATAGAAGGAAAAAGAGAATGAGGAGAGATTAAGAATCTTTCTTTTTATGGCTTGTTCTTGTGTGCGTAAAATGTTCATGTGTTCCTTTGTTCGTGTGCGTAAACGGCGTTTTTGTCGAACGTTCATGTGTGCCCAAAATGTTTTTATTTTTCATGTGTGCGTAAATTGTTCTTTTTTTCGAATGTTCATGCGTATGCAAAATGTGTTCTTGACGTTCACGTGTGCGTAAAATATGTATTTGTTGTTCCCGTGTACGTAAACAGTCATGTGTACGTAAAATGTGTTCTTGACGTTCAAGTGTGCGTAAAATGTGTTCTTGTTCTTCATGTGTGCGTAAAGTATGTTCTTGTAAAACTGATTGATGTTCATTTAAAATGGGATTTCGTCGTTCAGGTGCGTTTAGAATGTGTTCTTGTTTTTTCGTGTGTATTCTGTTCATTCATAAGTGCGTGCTAAATTTTCTTATTTAAGTTGTATAAGTATATGTATATATATACATATATATATTCACACACACACACACACACACACACACACACACACACACACACACACACACACACACACACATACACATATATATGTACATACACATACATTTGTATACAATATATACACATATATACAATTGTATATATATATACATTTGTATAAAAATATAATGTATGTGTATATATATATATTTTTTTATCTCCCCTTCCCCCTTTATCACATACACATAAAATCAATAACATCCCCCCCCTCTCTCTTCCCTTCATATACATATATATATATATATATATTCCCTTCTTCCCTTCCTTCCCCACAAAAATAAAACCCAAAAATCTCACCAACCTCAGGAAAAGCCTTACGTCATGATGCACAAGAGTTCGAACTTCTCCGGCAACGCTCGCTTCTATGGCTACTGCATTGACATCCTCGAGCGCGTGGCAGGCATGGTAGGATTCAATTACGAGATTGAGGTGGAGGAGAGCGGTCGATATGGCAACTACAACCACACGACCGGCGAGTGGGATGGCCTCGTTAGGGTCGTAGCTGACAAGGTAGTTTGAACGCGAGAGATGATTTGGTAGCTCGCAGGGTCGTAAGACCGTAAGGCGACCTTGGTTTTTCAGGGTCGTTGTTGTTGTTTGATAAAGGTAGTTAAAGAGACGATAATTGGTAGTTCGCAGATTCGAGGACGTAAGTGGCCTGTTTGGGGTCGTTCTTAACAAGGTAGTTTTTAAGCAAGACTGGTAGTTCGCAGGGTCGTTGTTGGCAAGGTAGATTAAACACGAGAAAATGGTAGTTGGCAGACACGAGATCACTGGTAGATCGAGTAAACGTTTTCTCTCCCACGCTAACGTTTCCCCTGCCATTGTTGTAAACGTTTATGGCGTAAGTCTGCGATAAAAAAAAAAGTGTTTAGTAGTATATGAAGTAGATGGTTGGTGATCGTAGTTGCGGAGAGGGAGGCAGTAACTGTACCTTAGCGCTTGGAAGAGAAGTATCTTTTAATCAAGTTTTTTTAATCAGTATAGTAATTAAGATAATTTGATATTGGCGATGACGATGGCGGAGTTTTTTTGCCGTTGCCTGAACGAGGTAAGTAATTCAAAGCTGTTGGGATATATATGTGTGTGTGTGTATGTGAGTTTGTTTATGTATGAGTATGTGTGTGTGAATTTGTTTATGTATGAGTATGTGTGTATATGTGTGTCTGTCTGAGTGTGTGTTTATTATGTACAAATATGTGTGTATGTGTGTGTGCGTGTATGTGTGTGTGTCTGTCTGAGTGTTCATCCAATAAGACATCAGAAGATTCGTCTGTCAGCCTAAATCTTCGAAACCTCCTCTTAAATCCAACTCACCCGTAAAATAGAAAAAAAAGAATCTTCCAAAAAAAGAAAAAAGAAAAAAAAAGAAAAAAAAAGATTGAAAAAAGGCATCCTCCATTCCTTCCTCGTAGTACCAGTAGGCTTGAGCATCGAAGCTTCTCGTAACTCTAGCCAGTTCGTAATCACGTCGCAATAAAACCGAAATCACACACACATCCCACCACGAAATAAGAGAAAAAAAGAAACGAGAATAAAAGTGGGAAAAAAGGGGGCGTGGAAAAGAGATAGACAAAAAGAAAAAAAAAAGGAAAAGAGAAAAGAGAGAGAGAGGGGAGTTAGAAATCCCACAAGAAAGAAAGAAATAAAGAAATAAAGAAGAAGAAGAAAAATTTAAAAAAAATGATAAAAAATGGCAAAATCAGAAGAAAATAAGATAAAGAGGCACAAGAGAAAGGGATGAAAAGAGAAGGGATACGAACCTAAAATCATTAACAAGCCTTTAACGGACGTGGCGCGGAGGTTAAACAGATGGCGCTAGCATTTACCGTTTTCAGGAGACATTGATGGGAAAATATCGCGGTTGTAAATTTTATCAAAGCAAGGAAGCCACGCCATTACAAGATGTTCTAGAGCATCGACGAGTGTCTGTTCTGGATTTTGCTGTTGCTGTGTTTATTTTATTTATTTTATTTATTATTTACGCTCGTAGTCGGTTGCACTTCGGTGGGATATTTTTTTTCTTCAATTTTCCTTTTTCTTTTTAAATGATTTGTTGCTTATATTTGCCCATCGAGAAATTTAGAAACGACAATATATATATATATATTTTTTTGGGGGGGGAGGGGGGAATGTGAAAATGTAAAAAAAGAAGGGAAGGGGAGATGAGGGGGGAGGGAAAAAAAAGAAAAAGAAAAATAAGAACAAAAAAGGAAACAAACAAACAAACAAAAAAAAAATTCGCAATAAACTCGCTTCTTAAAACTCTTAAAGAAAAAGGTATATATGCAAAATGAAATAGAATAGAAGATACAGAAGGGAAAGGTATAAACATTAATTCGCGTATATTCATACATAATTTTCACATGTGTTAAAATTTCATGCAAATCCTTCATTAGATTGGAGCGCTATACCAAATAAAAAAAAATATGCACATATATTGGAGTAGAACCTTTCTCTCTTAAAAACAAAGAAAAAAAAGAAAAAAAACTATTCACTTATTATCATTATTTTTTTTACTTATTTTCATTTACTTATTCTTTAATATTTATTCGTTTATTTATCTTTACTTATTTTCTTTTCCATTATCTGCTAATTCATCACATATTCCATTATCATTAGAATCCTTTCTTAATTAATCCTTTTAGAAGTATCTTGTATGATGCAGCTATTTAGATTTGAAAAGACACTGTATAATGCAGTACTAGTGCAGTATGATGCAATGCAGTATGGTGCAATGTAATACGCAAATATTATAAAACACAGGATATAATTCGTATATTCGCTGAACGTATGTTACAACATAGACACTGACATAGACACAGACATAGACACATACACACACACACATGCACATACACACACACACACACACACATATATATATATATGTACATACAGATACTCAGACAAACACACACACACACACACACACACACACACACACACACACACACACACACACACACACACACACACACACACACACACACACACGTACACACACATACACATACACGTACACACACACCCACACACACCCGCACGCAATACAGAGCCAACAATACTGGACAATACAAAGCCAATTTAACACAGTACAGCACAGACGCATTATAATAAATACAAAGGGATACAGAACCAACAGAGTGCGAATGAATACAAAAGCAATACAATTCAATACAATATATAGAACTGTAGCACAATACGATACAAAAGCGGTTTAATACAATACAATGTATACACAGTGCGATACAGCGTATATATATCGCGTGGTATGCTAAACCCTTCATTCAACCGCTTTTTGTGTTTTGCTTCTATTCCCTCCCTTCCTTTCCCCATTTTCCCCGCTTCCCTTTCCATATTTTCCTCCCGTAAATCATTGTTTTTTTTTCTCGTTTCCCCGTCTTCCTCTTCTCTTTATCTTTATTCGTTTTGTTTATGTCCTATTTTCCTTTTCGTATTTGATGTGTTTTTGTTTGTGTTTATTTTCTTCGCTTTTTTTCCCTTTCGTTGTATTTTTTTTGTTTTAATGTGTATGTGTATGTATTTATTTTTCTTTCGTTTCTTCTGTTATTGTTAATTTTTGGCTATTCCTCTTTTCGTTTGTTTCCATCCTCTGTATTTCCGAATATTTCTGCTTTTGTTGTTCCTTCTCTTCCTTTTCCCTCTCTCTCTCTTGCCTTTCATTCCCTCCCTTCACTACTACCCTCCCTCCTTCCCATCCCCCTCCCTCACTCTCCTTTCACTCCCTTCCCCCCCACCCTCTCCCTTTCCTCTTCCTCCCTTCCCCCACCCTCTCCCACCCTCTGGCCATCACTCCCCTTCCTCCCTTCCGTCTTCCCCCCTCCCCTTCCCCCTCCCCTTCCCCCAACCCTCTCCCACACCCATCCTCTTCCTCCTCCCCTTGCCCCCACCCTCTCCCCCCTCTTCCTCTCCCCCCACCCTCCCCTTCCTCTCCCCCCTCCCTTTCCCCACACACCAAAACGACCCCCCCTCCCCCACCCCCTCCCTCCCATAGGAAACACCCTTCGTCATGGTGAAAGAGGGAAACAACGCGACGGGAAACGGCCGCTACGTCGGTTTCTGCGTCGACCTCCTCCGTCACGTGTCGATGATGGCCGGATTCGACTACGAAATCGTGCTCTCGGGCGACGGCGTCTACGGCCTGATCGACACCGAGACGGGAGAGTGGAACGGCCTCGTCAGGGGGCTCATCGACAGGGTAAGAGGATCGGGTGGGGGGGAGGGAGGGGTTTGGGGAGGAGAAGGTGGGGGAAAGGAGGGGTTGTGGGATGGTTTGGGGAGGAGAAGGTGGGGAAAGGAAGGGGTTTGGGGGAGGAGGAAGTGGGGGTTTGGGGAGGAGGAGGGTGGAGAAGGGAGGGATTGGGGAGGAGAAAGTGGGGAGGGAAGAGTTTAGGAAGGAGGAGGTAGGGAGTGATTGGGAAAAAGAAGGTGGGGAGGGGTGTTGGGTTGAGGGAGTAGGGGTGAGGTAGGGGTGTTGGGGGGTGGGGAAAAGACTTTGCAGAGGGAAGTAGAGAAGCGAAGTTGGGGAGGGATATGGGGAAGAGACGTTGGGGAAGGGTGTCGGAGGGGAGGTGGGGAGGAGCGGGGCAAGTAGTGATTAGGGTAAGGGTGGAGTTTGGGGAATAGTGTAGGGGAAGGAGAAGCTTCATCCATAGGGTAAGCTTAGATTAGGAGGAGAATGAGGTAGAATGGGGAGGGAATTTGGGCAAAAGGGGAGGGTAAGGTAGGGTGGGGAAGTTGGGGATGAGATGGGGAAAGGGGAGGAGAGAAAGGAGGGAGAATAGGGTAGAATAATAGCAAGGTGGACGGACGATGGTGGGGAGAGGAGAGAAAGTGATGAGGGAAGAGTAGGAAAAATAAGATACAGAAAAAAAGGAGATTGGAATGAGGAAGAGGAATTTATGAGGAACAGGCATTTATGAGGAAGAGAAATGTATGAGGAATAGGAATTTGTGAGGAATGGGCATTTATGAGAAATAGGAATTTATGAGAAATGGAAATTTATGAGGAATGGGAATTTATGAGGAATGGGAATTTATGAGGAATGGGAATTTATGAGGAGTAGAACTTTATGAGGA